GTGTTTTTTTAATAATGCACAGAGGAATTGTGTAATACATGAACAGTAGCCATTGTTATTCGTATACATTAATAGCGATACTTAAAAAATCTATTAAAGACGGATTAAAAAACAAATCTTTCGTCAATAAATGACAAATTAAATGAATTTATTGCTATTAAAGATTCGACCGGGTGCATCGAATGCCTTTCCAGTGCTATTCTCAATCTAATGGGTTTCAGGAAATCACATTTATTTGAAGTACGTTTTATTGCTTGTGTGACAATAAAAGCATGGCGTGGTTTAGTGGGCACACAGCGACCTAGAAGATCTAGGGTGATATTCAGAAAGGAGAATTAGCGCCAAATTTGACGTACGTCAAAAATGGATCATACGAGTCATAGTTCGCGCCAAGAAAACAATTGTCTTGGATTGGCGGCAGTGATGCCAACTCCTACGGATTGTATTCCCTAGGACTAACTTCAAATACTTACTAAAAATCTAATAAAAACCCCTAAAGCTTTTGTTAAACACTCGGTTTGAGAGAGATTTCAAATATGAATCTTACTAGTGTACCTATTTGGGCCCAGTTAGTTGGGTTCTAAATTCTAATTTTGATTTGTGCGCTTTCTAAGAAAAAAAAATCTTGTATAAACTACCTACCCCCCAAATAAATCTACCTCCTAAACAATTACCGGGTCATCTTCCCCCTAATTTTGGGGGGAAAATCCCAAAAAAGTTGGAATCACTGATTGGCGGGTCGAGTGGGCCGTATAAAACAAATTCATTTAGATATTGGTAAAAATTGTATTAATAAATGTAATATTGTATTGTGTTCCTCCTGTGTCTAATTAATGTATATACTTCTTTGTTTCTAGGTAAATAAATAAATAGAATGTGGATATTAATTGTATAAATATTTAGTAAGCTTACATAAATAAATAAAATATAAGAGAACCGCGCGTAAAGATCTTATTTAAACTTTTGTAAAGAAATTAAAACTAAGAGATACAAAGAGTGTAGAATAACAAAATCTTGAAGTTATTAAGAGTAGATCCGGTTTCGTAATAATGTAGGTTACAAAGTATTTAATCTAATAACGAAACGCGCTTTATTCCGATAATATAATCTATAAACAGCAGTTGCAATAAGTCTATAAACCTCATAAAAATACGAACGTGGTAGCAATTGTATCAGCAGTAGGGATGGCTACGTCAACAAACAAAATAACATCCTTCGAGATCGATGGCCGGACAAGTTTGTTTAATTTGGTTTTATTTATAATTTAACACTGTACGGGAGTTCTTTAATAGCTACTCATGAATTAAAATAATTTGTGTGAACAATCTTAATAGGGGACATTGGGTTGTCTCAGTCTGACACTGATTTCCTTATAACATGTTTTGAATTGGGACTTATACGGTAATTTATTTAACTTTTTCAATACTGCAAACACTTACAATTAAAAAAACATCTGTTAGCGTACGCTAATTATTAATTACTTTTATTAATAATTTTGCAACTCGATCATTATATCAAGATTTGGTTATTCATAATCGCTTATCTTTATTCTCCTCGACATAAAAACTTTAAAAAGTTCTTTACGCGCGAGTCTGTCAATTTTTTTTCTTAAAGCCTACTACGTGTACAAATCCATTCACATTATATTTATTTAACTGTAAACAAACTGGTTACATCTCTTCAATAGAAACAGAATGATGACAAAATTATATGAAAAAAACCATTGTGTAAGCATATATGAAGATCAGGTATTCGCTCAGACATTGTACGCAATCCGTGGTATGAAAGTAATCATTATGAGTTTGTAACACAAAATTTTGTTTAAGACTACAAACGCCGATTAAAAGATATGCCGTCTTCATAATATGTCGACGTTTAGCCGAACGCGCAATCCCAAAAACCAAATATTATATTAAAATTATTCATAGAATCGATTATTAAGGTTGGAATGGGCATTTCAAATTTTGTACTAAATCTACATCTCCACTTGGTCCACCACAATTTCACACATATGGATCGGATACGAATATAGTTTCTACCTATGAGCGCTGAGTATCTACTAGTAAATAAAATCATTTCATATATTTTAATACAATATCAAACGTTATATATTTAAGCCGCTAAAAGAAAGAGTATTCAATGTCTACCCTTCTATCAAAGATTTTGAATAGTAAATACCTGTTTTTATAATATTCTTCTGTTTCCGTAGTGCATTTGTGTTTAAATATGTTTTCTTAGTGTAAATATTATTAGGTATACATTAATTTAAGTATAGATCACCACGCAAACAAAGTCAGTGGTCATTCTCTAAATAATACAGATATTTATATAATAATTCAGATCCTTTATATGAAGTAAACACTATCGATGTAATCCTAACAATCGTGTAATGATTGCGTCTATATCTGGCCACGAGATGGGGCACAGGTGGTATCTGACAGGCAAAATAAACGCAAGCATAATCGATTTTACATTCGTTTGTTTAAAATTAATCACTATTCGAATCTAATTCTATAGTTTATAATAGATTCTTAGAGAAATATTTCAGCGCATTCGAGTTTTTGAACAGTTTATTTTATGGTGGAAGTATGTTGTTATTTGATATCGTTATACTTAGATTTTTATTGTTTTACCTACGTTCTATACGAAAGGATATAATTTGTGTAGTATATGATGAAGTCTCCTTACCAATGGAGCATGAGAAAACACATTTTTGAGTTTGTTAAATAAATGTTATGGTCTGTATTTAATTACATTTATGTACCTAGCAACACCAAACAATGATTGTGTCACTTTTCGGACAGAGACATCGGTGTATATTTCATGTGCGGAAACTTCTATGCCAAAAATAGAAGATATTTTTTTTTCTTCTTCAGGTACCACTTTATTACTAAAGGTTGGCTGTTAACAACTTGAATTGCCGGGTATCTTGCAGTATTCTAAACAGCTCCTCGGCGGATGTGATGCCAGTTTACTCCCGAACGTTCCGCAATCACGACTTATTCCTTCTACCAGCCCGTCTCTTGCCTTGAATTTTGCAAATACATATAATCCCAAAGATATTAAATTTTTGTTTTTTATTCCGACCATAACTGCTCTGATTACATGGTGTTCGATCTCGTTTTCGTTTCTACGCGTTTTACATTCCAGAGCAGCACATGAGCGTCTTCTTATTGTATATTATCATTTGTCTGTTTTCATATTTTTATGGTACTAATAAGTGGTTGACTGTTTTAATCTGCGCCTTTTCATTTTTAACAACACAATTATTGTTTAAGTTTGGAAAGCAGACAGAAGTCAGAACTATACCTCCCCCTTGCCTTGATAGATTAATTATTTAGTATGTATACTATTATTTTCGCTAGAATGTTCCACTTTGTCCTTCCCTAAATACCTACTGATCGTTGTTGTGTGTGACCGTTAAAGCGTTACGTCGTTAAAATTGATATCGGGAAAATTATTCAGGCAACTTGTGGCCGATTTGTCTTTTAAAAATTGATGCAGTTTTGTTTGAGTATACAGCTACTTACAGCCGTTATTTCTATACTCGATCTATAATCTAAAATTATTTCCAATCCAGATTTTTGCTATCGATCGAGAATCTGCATTTCAATATGACAAGCTCTGAAAACCTAGTAAAAAAAGGTTTGGTCGTAAATAAGCGTCCCTCGTGTGGTTTCGTTTTACGCGTTGGCCTTATTTGTGAGGAACTATATTACTACTTGAAGACGTGATTATTTATAAAAAACGTATAGAATTATTATATATCTAATGATATTTTTTATGTAACAACATATTAAATTGCGAGTAAAAGCTGTAAAATAAACAGCAGAAATTTGTTGCTAACTATAGGATAACCTACACGAGTAGGTTAGTTTTCAGGATGACTCGAAATGTTTGATGCAAGACAAAATATACTTATACATACTGAACATGACTAATTCATCACTAATAATATTAATATGTAAGAAATAAAATACTATCTAGATTCGTAATATGTGTTTTAATAAACTAGAATATAACACTAAATGACTTATATCTACGTACCAATTATCAATCGTGGGTCAACCCACATAGAGTAGGAACTTAGTAGCCATATTTAATATTTGAACCAATCATGGTTATGTATGGGTCACTTATCTATGTAGGTGAAATCTACTTGTTAAAGGGATAGCTAGATGCATTATACCTACAAAGGTACATAAATTTGTAAGTGGTATTAGTTACAACTGAGTTTCATTTGCGAATGTTACATCTAACATACCAAATCATAAAAATGTTATCAAAATGACTCATATAAATGTTATATATCCGATTTTATCGACATTTTGTATACCACACGTCTTCCCAGCTTATGTTTTTTTTTTTGTCAAAGACTATTAAGATTATGAAGGTATTGGCTGTTGTGTATATAATCTCTTAGTAAAGACATCAAAAGTGATTAGGTGGAGGAACTAACTGTCATTATAAGCCTATTATTAAAATGCATTAATACAAAAATTATCTCTCGAACTCACGAACAAAGCTATAGACATTCGAAGGCTTCCCACCAGGGGGACAGACCTGGTGAAGAAAAGGCGTTGGAGAGCTTGTGAAAGCCACTTTATTTTTCTTTCCTGTCCTTAATTTTTGTTTCAGGTCCATATACCTAAATCTATTTTATCTCTTATTAGTGATTGTATGCAAGGTAATGAATTTGTATGATCCTACCTGCATATGGCGTAGATAAGTTGTGTTTGGCAGCAACGTTCAGACAAATGGTGCAAACTTAACGAAGTAATAAAATTAAATGCCTGCAGCAGAGCCCATATAAAACACATAAAAGAGCCACTTTACTGTAAACAACTGTTTGTAACATCAGTCACTTCATGAATAGCCACGCCCATTTGTAAAGGACCAATCAGGACGCTTGGTTTAATAGGCCACGCCCAGAGTATGCGCTTGCGACGAAAGCTACGCGGAGCTTCTCAGTTTTCCTGTAACACCCGCGAGGAGGTGACATGACGTCGCTGAATAGTGAACAGTCGACGAAATTAAAGTTTAGTGTTGATAGTATATTAGGGAATAATGAAAGTACCCAAGTGTCAGAGGCTAGGCCGCAAGAGCCTCCGTGTTCAGGATGTGTGGCGGCCCTTTACAGGTGTTGCAGAGACGAGCCGTTGCTTCAACTGCAATTGCCCCTACCATATGCACACTTGCATCCAGCTTTAAGACCGACTTCAGGTGCGTTTTGTTTTTGTTTTTTATCTTGACAACGTTAAAAGGACAAAATGTTATAGGTCGGTTATCGAAAGCTGGCGGGTTCACAGTACTCACACTAATGCAATTTCACATACAGTATGTTTTAAAATATGATGTTTTTGCCATGCTATACATTTTAGTCCACTCATACACGACGGACAGTCTATTCATGATGTATTTATGATTGTATTTCAGTTTGACATCACGTCTCGCGCTTATTCACAGACACTACACAAGCACAAAGTGTATATGTGTTGAAGCCGCCAGCTTTAGTTAACATACCTATACTAGTAACATAAAACAATAAACCAGTTTATAAATACAGATTTTATTAGGTAAGATACTAGGGTTAAAACATGAATGTTCTCTATTTTCAAACGAAAAAATCTTACTGTTTTTCCCGATAAAAAAGTCCAAAGAAGTTAATAATTCGGTATCTTCTATAAGTAACTAGAACGTTATATCCTTGCGCTAAGTTGGGGGGAAACTTCAAATAAAACAATGTTCTAGTTAAACAAACTACGGATATTTTTAACATCCTTAACATGTTAGGTGTTACCAATGTAAATATGTAAAACAATTCAATAATTAACATTCTCATTACTTAGATAAAGCTCCTTCAAAGCTCCTTTTTCTTTCTTTTAAAAACAGGCAATACCAAAATTAAGACATTAGAACAAAGACTGCTGGAGAAAAGAAGAGAGCTAATAAGCTTACATTTAAGAGTCACCTTTTTTTTAAACTTATATTACCTTATCAATAGTATAAATACAAGCTTAAATCATTCATCTATTATAAAAAAAATGCATTTTTATGTAAAGAAATAAATGCCAAAGTTGTACCTATTACAAAAAAGTGTATTTTTTTAGAAGTAAGATACCTTTATTTCTTTTTTAGAAGAGGTGTTAGTAATATAACTAATTGAGCTTTTAGCTGCAGAAAATATTGCACACATATCAGGAAAGTTAGGTCAATACCTAAAATAATAATACGCTTTTTAGATTGATATGCGTATACTGTATGTAACATTTTTTTGTTTTTTAGTTTATTAGAATTTTAATTTTTATGGTAATTAAATTGGCTGATAATTAAACTGGCTGAAATACAGTTCTCATAACATCTGGAGCCGTGTATATCTGTTTATTATATAATCTAAGTTAATGGCAATACATTTTGATTATTATCTACTTAATTTTATAATACTTGCCCTTGAGTTTTAATGCGACAAAAGTGTATTGTCTTTTGTACCACTTTGCTTTTAAATGTAATACTTAAATACTATCCATTTTTTACCGTTTATGCTTCGTTTCATACGTTTAGATTTTAGATCATTATTATTATAAGGAGTACTATACAGTATTTAAATCCTAATTTATGATTTTTTTAATATGAATACTACACAAATAACTTTTTTAAGAATGGACAGCTTCTTCGCAACCAATATGATTTACAAATATTATTTCAAAACCTGTTTGTAATACAACCGAAACATAAAAAAAACCGATCAAGGTCCCTCCCTAATCTACGTATATCAAGGGTGCATGTACAATGTACATATTTAGTTGTACAAAAAGTTAGTGCCGATAGATGGCGCTGTATGTAATACTCTTGATTCTAAATCGCGCTATTAAAATATGTGAGCTTCGTCATATATACTCTCAGCGATGTAATGAAATCATACTTACCTGGCGTAGGGGACACCGTGATCAATAAGGCGGTTCCCCCAGAGCGAGATTCATCCATTGCACTGCGGATGAGTTGACCTCTGCGATTATCCCTAATGTGGATAACTCGGACGCGTAATTTTTGGTAGTGGGGACTGCGTACGCGCCGTCCCCCATATTAAATAATGGGAAGTTATTAATTTAAAATTAAACCTAGGAATAGGAATATTCAAATAATATAATATACGCCACGGCAATCGGCATTACTAAATGAGTAAATCGCCTTTACAGTTTACGTGCCCTTTATACAAGTACTCTTAAGTCATATAACACAAATAATTGATTATTAAATTAACAATTTGTAAACAGTCATAGCAGTTCCCCATGACCTATATATTCGTATTGTTGTGAGTGATGCGGAATTAGAAATATATCTATTTTTTTAGTTTACCGGTTACCACTTCCTTCGCCTCCACATTCCTCTACACCCCGATGTGACGTCACCTCCACGGGCAAAAGAAAACGATCATGGTCCCGCGCTGTGTTCAGCAATCTTCAGAGAAAAGGACTTGAGAGGAGATTTCAAATACAAAAATATATAACAAAGCCAGATAGGCGACAGTTAGCAGCTACTCTTGGATTAACTGATGCTCAGGTAGTGGAAGAATTTAATGCCATAAATAAAACAACCTTTCAGGTTAAGGTCTAAATCTTTAAAACATATATATATTGTCAATAAAAACTACTTGTATGTTATTCTATCTAACAACTCCTACTCATAAAACTGAATTCTATCACTCCTCCTTTACTGTGCAAAGTATCCTGCTATGGAATTCCTTACCAATTGATATCAGACGAGCTCAGTCTTTAAATTTATTTAAAAAGATTCTTTTTGATCATTATTTTTTCTGCCTCGTAATTAGCTTATATATATTATAGTGACTCAGTTAACCTTTTGATTGGCTTAAAAAAAATTTGTTATACATATTTTTCTTTATAATTTTTTTTTAGATTTTATTTTATTTTAGTCATAGTTACGTGTTATTTTGAGTTTTTTTAATTAATTCTTCATGCACTTCTTGTACTTTACCCTCTGTAAGTGTTCCTTTTTTATTGTTCCATATTAGGGTTGCCTGGAAAAAATCGCTTGTTAGCGATAAGGCCGCCCGTTGCCTTATAACTTATGTGGGCATCTTTTTTTATGTATCTTTTTGTATAAGGTAATAAAGTGTAAATAAATATTTTTATCATATTTGCTTGCCGGCAAATTATTTATAATACGTTTATATCTTTTTCGCTGTAATATTACTGTCTATATTCCTCGTCTTCGTAAATCAAACTTTAACAAATTATACACGTACTACGATAAATTAAATTACTTAAAAAATTACATCTCTCCATAAAATTTTGATAAAAATCTTTACTAATTTATTTAGATTTTTCCCTTTTTAAAAATTATAAAGACCTAACATTACTCGTTGCAGGTAAAAGTGTGGTTTCAAAACCGGCGTATGAAATGGCGACATACGAAAGAAGGTCGTGCGGGCCTTAACTCTGTGGGCAGCGGGCGAGATCCAGATTCCACAGCTCAGGAGGACAATGAAGATATCGATGTAGATACTCTTAGTGATTAGGGAGATTTTTAGACTAGACTGTGTCTCTCGCTTTCTACGCTCTAATTACTATATTGGTATTTGAATTTGCGGAAAGGAGACTAATTATTAAATTATATTGTATATAAACTATTTTCAATAGCAATGACAAATAACTTTAATTATATGGGTAATATATTTAATTGTGACTTTTTTTTATTTTATCATACAAAAAAACATATTTTTACAGAATTTTAATCAAATTCAAATGTATGTAAGTGCATCTAAAGAAACTGTTGTTAATCAATTGAATGTTTATGAGGCCCTACATAAAGAATTCGGTACATATATTTATATAGGTGTATGTATTATTCCGTAACTAACTACTTGTAAATTTAAATAAACTGAATAAAATAAGTTAAGAAATGTGTGTAAAACAATACAAATTTATATAAAACAGGACACCATAGCGGTCATTTACATTTTAACCACCGAAATCTCATAATTGTTTAATTTATTTGCGGGAAGTGAGTTCCTTTCGATTGGCCAATCGGACGTCTTTTGCAGCGTGAGGTTTTTTAAGTTTAAATTTAAGTAAATTACTTAGTTATACTTTAAAGAAAAATATGTTATAATTATATACGATAATTCTCTTTTCTTATGCAAAATAAGTAACTGTTAAGATACATAGGATTTGTTAAAATAGAGAAGATATTTACTGTCTCATATTTTATACAAGACGTATGCTAAGTACTTCTTTTTGAGTTTTTACAGTCCAAGGCTAAATAGCGGATCTTCATATATACCACACTCATAGAAAAATACCTAATCTATATCACAGCGTAAGCAAAATTAGTCAGAGTACTTTAGTAAAAAGAGTGCAATTACTGTTTATTACTATTTGTTATGAGTAAGGGAGATAATCTTTAGAATAAGGAGGGTTTTTGCAGGTTTGGCCTAGGTATACTAAAATATTTGCGTCACATTGTAGGTATCATCAAAAAAGCAAAGGCCAGATAATCGCTTGTTTTTAAAGGTTTATTTACAATATTAAATTTATGTAGGTAATATTTACTGTCAGGGGAGCAAACGGAACATCCATAAAAGGCAGCTGCCGCTAGCAATGGTCGCACATGTTAGTGGGTGTGTTGCCGGCATATAAGAGAGGAGTACGCCCGTTAACTAGTTTGGAGGTCGTATCTCCCAGGAAAGACCTGCACCGGTAGCCGAATCCACAGCTCGCCAGATCGCAAAAGAAACTGGAAGAGGTGTGGATGAAACCTGGAATTTATCTGGCACGTGCGTTAAAGAAACAAGGCAGCAGGGATCCGCCCAAACAGTTAAGAACACTTTCTATAGTACACTTGGTAAAATACTCATAGTGACGCAATGTCCCTACGTAGGGGAGCGTTCAAGTATTACGTAATGAATTATAACTTATATTTATTAGAGTATTAAATCATTATTTAATAGAGTAATTATATATTCTTTTCTATTTAAGAGCAGTGTTGGCCTTGTAGCTTCAGCGTGCGACTTTCATGCCTGAGGTCGTAGGTTCCATCCCCGGCTGTGCACCAATGGACTTTCTTTCTATGTCCGCATTTAACAATCGCTTGAACGGTGAAAACATCGTGAGGAAACCGCCCAAACCCAAAAAAACAACGTAGTGCGTCAGTCACAGAATGCTGATCACCTACTTGCCTATTAGATTCCCAAATGATCATGAAACAGATACAGAAATCTGAGGCCCAGACCTAAAAAAGGTTGTAGCGCCGTTGATTATTATTATTATTATATATTCTTTTCATTTTATTATTTATTAATTTTAATGGAAAAGGATGTTATTTTTATACTTACTGATAATAATAAAACAACGTATACCTCCTTAATCTGTATTTCATAATTGACAAATATGTCATGTACATTTGAGCAGCTCTTTTATAAGTTCTCATATACAAATATTGACAATTTTACTTAGACATAAAGGGAGTATTTAAACTATAATGTTATCTATATAAAATTAATTTAGCTAACATTTTTCGAAATCTTTCGATACAAATGAACCCAAGTTGCAGAGAATTTTGATCCTTTAAACACCTTGTATGTTTGTTTGAACGTATTAGCCTCAAACAGTCAAATAATACCACAACTACTATTCAAAGCAACAAGAATGAGAATAGCTACGTAAAAGAATACGTAATAGCTATTTGAGGCTAGTACTTTTATTAAGGGAGTTCATTTTTAATTCTAAATCACTTTGCCGTGAATATTTATAATTAACATCACCTTATCAGGTAAGTTTGCATATCAATTCGGGAAAATCTGATTAGACACATCAGAATTTGCAACAAACACGTAAAAATTGTAAATTGTTATTAGTTATTATCGCCTATTAAATATTGTATGCATCTAATTTTGACAATATCATTTTAACTCAGAACATACGCAATAAGTTTTCATTTATGTATGTACTTCTAAAGTTTAGTTTAAAAAAAAAATATGTTTCATAAAACGCGATGGTAACATTTTATTAGACGTCTTAACATAATATGAGTTATACATTTCACAATTATATTTACAAGAAAAATTAAACGTATACGTGCCTACACGTAGTTAACGTATTAGTTCAATAGTCCACCAACTTCACTTTTCTCCCATCGGAGTCATCTCTTCTTGAAGGTCCATCTTCATGTCTTTGTCCTCTGTAATCTTTGCGGCCTCTGAAAATCCTACAATCGTTAAAGGATTTTTTAGTAGCTGTCACGCCAGGATTAATTTATTGGTTGTGGTGTATTTTCAATTTAAAAAAAATCTAGTTTATTAAAATTACTACTTATAAGCCTACTACAGGTTTTGTAACCTTTGTGACTGTCTTATACTGACTGTTTAAAACGCCGGTAAAATAATAATTTTAGTACGATAATATCATATAAAGTCGCTTAGACATGGGTAGTTATGTTACAAAACTACTACTGTGTGAATGACTCTGGTAGAATGACCAGCGCTGTGACACACGTCTGCTCCACAGCATTATGCTGAGCCAGGGCCAGTTACAACACACACACATTACACACTTAAAATGTACCTTATTCCTTTTTTTTCTTTCCATAATTTTTTGTTATTTTTATTATTTATATTATTTTTATTTTGTGTGTGTGTGTGTTTCGTTAGTAATAAATGTCTATGTTAAAATTGTGGCAGGTATTTTAGTTGTCCTAATGCTTTAACAGATTTGGTATCAAATAATCCAAAGGATTGCTGCTTGGATTGGAAGTTTTATAAACAAACATTATTATCATTCGCTTTAAGTTGTTCGTGCTAATCACAGAGCCATATTATGACGGAAATGCGTTCTCATTAGATGCGTTTAGTATGTGTTTTGATGCAGTGGGTATTGCGTAAAAAAATGTATAAAGGGAGCGTATAAATATTACGTCACGCAATTTTTGGAGATTACTGACACAAAGTTTTTCTGAATAGTAAAACGTTTCGTGACCACCCAGCGACTCTTTAAACCTAAAAGTTACCATTATGTGGTATATATGGTGGATTGAATTGTTTTTGTGAATTTTTATTTAGATTTAATCCGAGGGTAATTAATATTATGTATTGCCACTTCAATGTCAATATTATGGGAATTCATTTTGTAATTCAAATAAAACTGTGCCGGTATTCTGTATCTTTCAATATCGGTATCGATCATTTTGTATGGAATTTTGATGAAATTCCCTTTCAAAACCCGTAGCGCTATAACAAATGACTCCCGTATACGAAACTTTTCTATACACACCTATTATCCCTCCTTTGCCTGAATTCCTCTTCGTGACGTCTCCTGTCAACTTCTTGGTACTTCTGCTTGTACGGAGACACTTCATCCGACTCCCAAACCTGAATGCGTTTCTCTGGAGTTTTGCTCTTGGACTTACTTCGCTCTTTTGGCGATGGCGATTTTCTGTAAAAAAACATTTCATACGTATTAATTTCTATAGCCTATACATTTTGT